AAACTTTTTTACTGTGAGGGTGATGGAGCACCAGAACAGGCTGCCCAGAGGGGTTGTGGAGTCTCCTTCTCTGGAGACATTCAAAACCTGCCTGGACACGTTCCTGTGTGACCTAGTCTAGGTGATCCTGCTCTGGCAGGGGGGTTGGACTAGATGATCTTTCAAGGTCCCTTCCAACTCCTAATATTCTGTGATTCTGTGATTTGTGCCTTATTTGCAGAAAGGTATACTGAGAAGTAAAACAGGACATGATTTCATTAGAATTTATATTCTTGCTGGTTTTTTAAGCCTGAATTCTGGGAATTCTGCTGCTGATTATGTCTCAGGTATCTGAGCTCCTACCATCTACCATGGATGTATGATGTTTCAATTTAATTTATGTTTCTGGTACCCCTTGTACTGCATAGAGTAGCTGTTACTGCGAGAATCCTGCTGTCATAAGACATAAATTTTTTTCTTTTCCTAATTCTCTCTGATTAGACCCATTCATTCACTCCAATTTATGTCAGAGATTTGATTTGCTGTCTGGGTCAGGCATACGGGATCACTGTGCCGCATAGAAGGAATGCTGTCCATTCCATTAGAGCAAGCAGTGCCACCGTGCACTGGTAGGAACCATCCTGGCTCATTCTGTCAGGTGCTAAATGGCTGAACCTCCATTTGTTAATTTGTTAACTTGGCACCTCATAGGATTAGAACTTTTGAGTTAAAACCAGAAGTGGTGTGTGTAAGGCCTCATTTATGCAAACGAACTGGATAACTGACATGGTTACTGATTTAAATTTAAGGTTGTAAAATGTAAAATTTCAGGAGTGGTTACTGGAGTCATACAAGGCTGCACTGCTGATGATATTCTGCAAGCATGGCAGAACAGACATTTCAGGGTGGTTGCAAATGTTCTGTCATCTGAGCTCATGCTTGCTGCAGGTGTCAGTCTGAGCCTGCAGGATCTTGGAATAACTCTGGCTCACACAACATTTTGGGGGTGCAAGTCCATATTTCTACCCTTGTCACACCTCTCAGGGGACATTTAGAGCAGCCTGGCTTCCCATAGCTGCAAGGAGCCAGTTTCAAGTGCAGCTTTTCCCAGTCACACATGGAGGTCTAAGTACCATCTGGGAGTATAGAGGCAGCTTTCTGAATGATTTCTGTCAACTCAGCAATGCTCAAAATACCATTCTACTAATTCAAATAAACTTTGTCTTTGCTTCTAGGAGATTGTCTCTGGTTGGAAAATGTCAGGCCCTTAATGTTATTTGTACTTTGGTAGCACCCACAGGTCCAAATAGGGATTAAAGTGTTGCTGAGCACAGCGAGATCCACTGTGCCTTTCTGCCCAAAAGACTTTATTGAACACAAATGGATGCATGTTAATTCTAGGCATATGACCAAGTCCTCTTCTCAACATCAAATTAATGTCTAAGCATTGCTGGTTTTCATCTGTAGATCAAATGCAAACTGTGAAAATGAGGTCATCAGTGAATGTTTCTATATGGCAGACTGCTTCCTCTATTATGAAACCATGAAGTGGGAAATTGTATTATTCCCCTAGTATTCTCATGGGAAACAATGTGAGGATAAAATAAAGCAAACTGTAAAGAAATATATACTCACTCCTTCAGAATAGTAAAACAGCAGCCCATTGGGCTGCAATGTCTGGAAATTAAAGCCTCCTTCAAATTCACCAAAGAGGGACTCTTTTTGGCTTGATGCAATGAAGCTCTCTCCATTGAAATATGCTTTGCGGGACATCTGTGTATTAAATAAAACAAAATTACAAGTAAACCTCAGAAAACATTCAAATCATAAAAAGAATCAGGCTATTTATCTTTCGTTAAAGATGCAGCCAGTTCAATTCTATAAAATCTTCAAATAGTACTGTGAGTCTTAACCTAATTTATATAGCCTTTCCTTCACATGCTGTGAAAATCTTAAGAAAGTGTGGCCATTTTAGACAGTGTAAGCCAAATTGTTCTCAGTTTCCTGGTATTCTTGGCCTTATCCTAAGTCTGCTGTTAGTGAGCATGAAGGCAGAGAGGGCTCAAGTCTCTGTCTGAGCTGTGTGGCACTGAGTCACCATCCCAACATGGGATATATTAGTTTGCATGCTGCAGAGTGCTGGGGTGTGGAGGGGTTGGACGTGGGGATCTATAAGCGTTTGAGTTTCAGAAGTACAATTGGGCTGAAGGTAGGACAGATTGCAGCTAGCTTCCTTGTTGACAGAGGAGGAGATTGTGTGATGAGTTCTACAGGTGGTAAGCTCCTTCATCTTCACAGGTTTGCAGCATGGCTTTGGATAGACATGGCCACAGGACAAAGACCACAAACACTGTTTAGATTTACCAGCCTTGCATTGTAATGGACAAATGATGAATGATGGAAGGGATCAGAAATGAAATGGCAATTTTCTCAGTGTTAATGCTGGTGCAGTTGGTTTGCATCTCACAGAGGAAGAGCTGGCCTGATTTAAGGGGAGAACTCATTTGAAGGGTGAATATGTTGCTTTTTCATTTCATACCTCAGTATTAGGATACATGTGAGGACAATTTTCCATGTTTAAGACAAAACCAAGTTACATTGGAAGATTTCCTTTCAGAATGCAGTACATAACATATTTCAGATCCAGCTTTCACATTGGAATCTCACATATGGTAAGAATATCAAGTGCAACACCTTTTGCTGTAGTTCAGGGTGAAAATTGGGTAGTATGTCAGCAGACTTAACACACGCACACCCCACCAGTCAATGCATGCATTGTCATTTCCTTGCTTGAGGACTTTCTTTCCATTGTTTGGAGTAAAACTGAAGCTCGCATTGCCAAAATTTTGTTGTTATCTCAGGGATTGTTATGCTTACTAGTGAATCCTCTGGGCATCCATAGCTGATTCCCAGGGTTCCTGGTTCTTCTAACAAGTTGAAATCCTTCTTCTGGAATTGGAAACCCTTCATGCAACCTTTAAAGCCGATACTTCCTGCCAGATGTGAGCTAATGCTGTTGCAAAACGATGACAAACAAGATGCAGTTAGATAACCCTTGCCTTTCTGAACAGACTTTTATTGCCAAGGTGTTCTAAAAAATTGGAAGAGCCTCAATCATGAGCCCCACTAGTGCCCAATACCTGCATCTTTATGTAAAACAACTAATTAACCACATTATGTCTTTTGAAAAGTCAAGATGCACCAGTTATTATGGAGGGAAATATATGAGACTTCAGAGAGGAGATCCATATAGAGTAACATTAAAAAGATAAAAATAGCTGCTGAAATGAAAAGACTTGTTTTAAAATGTATTTCTACCCAGTAGTAGTGAAAATCAACAGATTTCTATCTCCATTTTTTATCCTTTTAGAAAAGTTCTGATTTAATTTTTCTGTCTTGCTTTCACTAGCAAGCTGCATTCTTGCCTTTCAAAGCGAATGGATCTCTGTTTCTTAACAAACAGTAGTAACAGAGGTCAGGGAAATAAGAGTGAATTCTGCTTGCTGATGTGTGTTTACATAATTGTAACTGAGAGCAGTAGGTAGCAGTAGTAGTAGAGAGATAGTAGTACATCATCAGTAGATGATATAATCCTAATACTGATTTACACTCCTGATGAAAATGGAATGTTGTCACCACATTTGGACTGTACTTTGCTGTCAACCTTTATCATGAGAACCAAAGCTGAGTACAATATCAAAGACAAAGTGTAGCTCTGCTTAAATAATTTCTGTATACATTTTTCAATATTATAAATGATCATATTTTTACAATGCCTATAGATTCTTTCTGATACAATTTGTTTATTGCTGTGCTATATTTTCTGCCTTGACAGTACCTTGCAGGTGTTTTGCAGAATAACCACAATTCAGTCAGGAAACTGTGGGCATAATTCATGTAATTCATCTTGTATCCTACATTTGTGAACAAGTCTCATCTGCCATTGAGCTGCTCAATTGCCTAGTTTTCTAGGTTTTTCTTGGCTTTTTCAGTGTTCTCTAGACTTGATTAACTAAAGTAATTTTCACCATCCTTCTGTCCTTTGTTTCTAGACCATGAATGTATTTAATACCAGCCCTAAGAGGGATCCTTTTGGCATGTGCTGTAGACTTTTTATGCTGTGAAAAATGAAGAGTTACAACTATGTCCTATTTTCTCTTTCTCAGCTGCTTTTTAATCTGCTTCAGCCTTTCACCTCTCCACCCCACTAGTTTTCTTAATAACCCCTTATGATAGAGCTTTCTAAAGAACTATTTGAAAGGCCAGATAAATTATATACTCTGTTTCTCCCTTGCCCACCATTTTGTTCAAATAATTACATGAGATTGAAAGGCATAATTTTCCTTTACACAAAGATTGTCCCTATCTTAAAAGCTTAATCTGTAATGTCTATTTTATTGATTCAACAGGCTCTTCTGACAACAAAATAAGGTTTAATGAGATTTACCACTAATTCCTAGAAACTATTGTGCAACATTTACTATCTTCCTTTTTTTTTTTTTAAACACAGAGCGTATTTTAAAGAGATGGTATTTCTGTTAGCAATTGTGACACCTAAAAGAGCAGCTGGAGCCCTTCTGACAATGCTGGCCTTGCTGTCTGACCCCAGGAATGAATACTGCCTGTCAGAAGAGCCTTCACCCTTCTTCAAGCAGCCAGTCTGCTCTCCCAGAGTGTGACCCTGGTCCAGCAGATTCCCACTGCAGGAACTGAGAGTTACAGAGTCTACTGAGATTAAACTTGGCTTCTCTCAAATGGTATGATGTGAAAATGAGACTTTTTCTTTTCTTCCCATGCCTACACCGAACCAGCTGATTTGGGCCTAGGGAGGACCAGAGACAGATCAGAACTGGAGTGCATAGTAGGAAAAATGTCTTTAGATTCGAAAATACAGTTGGTAAAGAGTTTTGATCCTTCAGCTAGTGTATTGCTATTTTACAAAGTTCACATTTTGCAGAGCAAGGAGGAATAGCAAGTCTATGTATTACTGTGTTCTTTGAAAACACCTTTATGTTTTAAGATGACAACTATTTCTATTACCCTTACTAAAACTAGACCAGTTTCAGCAGAATTTACCTGTGCTGGATCAAGCCTAATCCTTGGTACTTCAGAGCTCAGTGAGACACTTAAGAGTGTCTGAGGGGTTGTTTTATAAAAGGTGTTGAGGCTTGGAAAAATGTTTTATTGTAAGCCCTTCATACAGGTCATACAACATAACTTAAATATGGTGATTACGTGAAGATAATGACTGAATCCCAGTTGTAAACCAACCTGGAGTGCAAGATCTCAGTAGGTGCTCCTCCAATGTAGATGTCAGTGAACGGCATTGCTGTTCTTTCATTGTCAACACTTTTTATATGTCGCCTGTCTACTACCAAGATCATCTTCTTAGAATTGTGATATATAATAGAAATCTGAAAAGAAAAAGATCTGCTTAAAAGTGTCCAAAATGCCATCTTTTGTAAGTTGTCATGGTAATTTTGCAGAATTGATTGCATCTTTACATCTTTTTCTTTGAAAAGTTGCTCTCATTTATCAACAAAGCTGTCTGTAAATCAGGAGAGGCTGACAACAACTACTAGCAGGGAGCTTATTTTGATGTCACAATTTCTCTGATGACTGAAAACCCAGGATATTTCACTTATGAATAAATCCACATGAAAGTACCCCATGTTAAAGTTGACACTGTGACAAACCAATAAGCTCCATTAACTTCAGAGTGCTTTCTTGATTGATCAAGAAGCTAGGGCATACTTCTTAAAATCACAGAATCATAGAATCATAGAATAGTTTGGGTTGGAAAGGACCTTAAAGGTCATCTAGTCCAACTTTACAAAGCATAAAAGGCTTAATCGTGCTCTGCTTAAACAGGTTGAACAGAACTATAGATGTAGTTGTGGGTCAGGAATCAGACTTTGAATTTACATCAAGTAAATGGCAGGAGATGCAAGCCACTAAGAGTGATTTCCTACTGTCACTGTCACAGTTACACTGGGTTAGAGAAAACTCTATGGAGCCAAATTATTGTGTTGTAGCAAATTATTGCTGCTTTGGAGCTGCTGGGATAGTTGGTCAAAGGGCTGTGCTTGTAACCACATGTCTACCTCATGAAATTTAGCATCGTTAATCTGAGCCTTCTTCATGGAGTCCTCTAGCAGCACAGGGCCGGTGCTGAAGCCAAAGTCATAGCGAAGGTACAAGAAACCATTGTGCATCTCTAGGCTGAAGAACATACTCTGTATAAAACAAAACAGCAGTCAGAAAAGCACTATAATTGCAGCAATTTAAAAAACCAATAATGTTACAAGAGTGTCTGACATTGTGAAAAACATGCTGGGAAAAAGTCTTTTATTTGCAAAACTATAACAGTTTCTGGATTATTTTATATATAAAATATATGTGTATATATACATATGCACACACAATCGTTTGATAAACAGCACTTATTTGAAAACTTGGTGAACTGTTTCCCTGTAGCAATAATATTTGGTAGCACTGTAACGTCAATATTAATTACCAGCAAAATATTCTTAATGTGCACCTATTTACTGTCAAAGTAATACCACATGCCCCAAATGAAAGATGTTATACTGGTAAAAGCAATGTTGTGCTAGATTGGCTGTATCTGCATTAGCAGCTGCTGTCACGACACCTGTAATAGCTCAGGATTATATCTTTTTACAGCCCTGATCAGCACTGCTGTATTTGCTGAAGTCTGAGCAATGGGTAGCGTCTATTTACTATGTATTTGATTTCTGGATTTCATGACTATCCCTGCTTCATGGTTTGGTTTCTGTTCTGTGACTAGGAGAACTAAACTTTATAAACAGGAGCTGTACTTTAGAAAATCTTCAGGGAGTGCTTGAAATGAAGATCTGTACCATAGAATTAGTCTTGTTCCAAATCAGAATAGGACAGCTTACAACAACTGCGCATCTGGGTTAATGCTTTTAATACTAATGTTCATTGTCTCTTCTAGTGTTCATGCTGTTCTTCCCTTGCCTAATAGAAATATAGGAACAATAATTTTCAAAAAACTACTGCAGACGAAGAACTGCTGTCTCTGACACAAATGAGTCTACCCTCAGAACCCATTACTTAAAGTAGGTTTTAATCTTGCACTTTTAAATGAAGCTGCAGCTTTGGTTTGTCTTAAACAGCTTAAAGTTGAAAATTAAACAGGGATTGCATTCAGATTATTTATAAGCTATTTTTGCAGAACCGAATAATGGGCTAGTTTAGAGAGTCTTTCAAAGAGTGCTTGTGAACAGGCATGGTCTTCCACAGCTAACATCCAACAGGATGGCAGTTTCCACTGTAACACACAAAGCACCTACATCTCCAACAAACCTTTGGGCACTTTTTCGTGGAAGAAAAATGACTGATCTGCAATAGAGGCTGTTAAACTTTTAACAGCAGTTGCTTAGTCCAAAATATCTTAAGAGCGTCTACTTTCTTTCAATCCTTACAGAGTTTGCATCACGCTCAAACTTCTGAAAAGCTGGTGATATTTGGATCAAGCCTTTTTATTTGGGCTACTTTCTGTTTTCAGTAACTTAGTAAATATTTAACTCTAGCATGCCCTGAGACACAGTTATAAAGTGACAGCTATCACAAAGCAGCTGCTTTATGGGAGTTACTTCACAGAAATTTCCTATCACTTTGTAAATAAAGGTGCAACTGCTGGGTTTAACTGGAGTCTCTCTCAAGATGTCATCACAGGGGTATGACCATTCTGAAGTCCTGACTGTCTCTAGAGGAGAGCAGAGTCCAAGTCAGGGCCTTGGCTTCCTGGGGCTTTTGCAGAGCACATTCAAGTTCTCTCCCAGCATGTACATGCACCAGATGAACACAAAGTATTTCCTCTTTTCAGAAGTTAAATGCAAGGACATAAGAATTTTGGACTTTTCATGACATTGTAAGTACTGTTGAACTCATGGTACTCATGGATAAAGGGTACCAGCAGGATTTGGTACTTACTCCATTAACCATCAGCAGGATCAATCCGTTGTCTGTAGGTGTTCGAACTTCTATGTCAAACCGAGTCACCTGGCTGAATCTTCCCCTTCTCTCAATGTTTCTTGCCAAAGCATAGCCAGAGCCGTCAAAGAAATAGCTCACAGCCCGGCTCTGAGTGAAAGCCAGCTTATCTCTGAAAAAACAAGCAAGGAAGCAGTATTTGGCACATCCCCATTTTAATTTGGGGAAATTTAAAGGCCTTAACAATTAAAATACTTTATTGAAATAACTGTTATGAACTGCTGCTTCTTCCTGGCAGTGGCAAGACTGATGACTTTTTCTTTCAAATTTGTTCTGAAAAATAAGGTGTAGCTTTGAAGGTATATCTAACTCCTTCATCATTAGATCATGCTTTTATCCTGTGTTGTATGTAGAGGACAGAAACAATCTTTGCTCATCCTTGTAAAGTGGCAGGCCCACAACACCTCCTCATTATAAGGATATACATACATTTCTATTAAGATCTTGCAAGTTTGTGCAGAAACTCACTTGAATTCTCCAAAGCCTTTAGCTGAGCATGGGCTATGCCAGGGAGCCCAGGAGCAGCCCATGTGCACTGTCCTGCAGAGCAGCAGCTTGCAGTCCCTGTAGGAATGGTGTGGGAAGCCATCATCTGCTCTGTCCCAACACCTCCTGCATTTTTTCCCAGTGAGAGCTGCAAGTTTCTCTCCTGCTCTGTATAGAGAGATTCTACTGTTGCTGCTTATTGTACGAACGAAATGCCTGCTAATGTCTGTGCTAAATCAATGCTTCGGTTGCTGTTCACTTCTACTTTAGGGGCTGCATTTCCTAGTTTGGGAATGGGTTATCTGAGGAATTTCTGTTGTGGGTTTAAGAGAGTGACAGAAAGATAATTTCCATACTGGCTTTGCTAGCTGAGAGTGGGACTGCACTCAAGTTTCCCAGGCCCACTGGAGCTAACTGACTGTGGTTGTATAGCTTGCAGCAACAGGATTCGACTCAGGAGGGGTCCTGTCCTAGGCAAGCAGTGGGGGTAAGGAGGGAGTCTGCACCATGCCCCACCTAACATGGCAGTTTCCCTTTTGAAAGCATGAGCAAGGTTGTAAGACGTTAAGGGAGACAGCAGCAAATCATAGAAGATCTCATGTAAGAAGGGATCCATAAGTATCATCGCATCCAACTCCTATATATATATGTTTATAAGTTCAACCTGTTGACACAACTAGGAATTAAAAGTGGCCAAGTTCCTTCTGGGCAACTCAGTATCACCTTCACGTTTGTAATCTAAAACAGGATTGAGCCAGCAGGACTGGCACTTGCAACAAACCAAAGGAGCAGAGTGACGGTGGGACTGTCTCCTACCTGGCACAAGGTGGCGATGTGGTGGTGTCGATGTTGTAGATGTGCTTGAAGTTGTATAGGCTGATCACATAATCGTTCAGGGTAGCCAGTTCCAGGCAGCCGATGAAACCGGGCAGGTTTAAGCTAGGAGGGAGCTGTGCAGAGGGCAAGGAAAAAGGGAAAGGAGAAAGGTCACATTCTTTATTTGGTTATCATGAAAGCATTTGTGCCTGAGGTCAGTTTTGTCTCTGTGCTCTTCCTATTTTGAAACAAATGGGATGATGCTACCTTAGGATAGCCTTTGCAGTCCTATAATGATAAGGCCATTGTGCTGTAAGTTAAAATGGAGCACAGAAATGGTCTCATAGTGAGAATAATAGGCCAGGTAAGGCAACTACAAACAAATACTTATTTTGTAGTTTTGAAGGGAGCACACTTGGAAAAAGGGAAAAGAGTTAAAGGGTTAAGATTTGACTAATCACAGATCTTGCTCAGCACATATTTCATATCTAATGTGTAGACATCCTTTAATGCTAGAAAAAATAACTTCATACTGTGGCAAAAGAGAAAGAAATGAGGGAGCTTTTTAAACCCAGGAGACTTGGATTCAAAGCCTGTGCCAGTGGCTAATCCTCACTAGGTACTATTTGGAACAGTTAGCAGGTTACAGAAACTGCTTCTTTTAACAAAGGTCACTGCAAATGGAATTTAAATGGCCACAATGGTGAGAGGAAAAATACAAATGAATAAAGGTGACAGAGCTAGTGAATAATTCTTTTAATATTAAAATACTCTGCCCTGTGTAACAAGTGTGATATTAATAACACATCTTATACATCAGAGTCTGATCACTGTCAGTAATTTTTCTTTGGCTTCTACTTATTTCCATTTTCCTTATGATCTAATAATAATGGTAATACAGCAATGCAGAATATGTGTAGCTGTAAGAGAAAATGAAATTCTTATCTGCAGCACAGATACATTTGGTAAGTGATAATGTTTTCTACTTTTCCTTTGTTTCTTCTACTATTCTGTTTAATTATGTTAAATACGAGACTTCTAATGGTTGAGTGGTACATTTAATATTTATAAAGTATGTAACAGGGAAGAAAAGGCAAAAGTGTTTAGCAAATAAAACTGTTTGTTAATAGATGAAAATGTGAGGTGTCAATCCCTAAGGGAGAGGAGACTCATATACTTCTCAAGTAATTCCATAAATCCTTTTCTTCCCACTCCTCTTGCCATTTTCCTTCACTTTTCCTTTTCCTTTTCCGCTGCCCTGCTGTGGAAAGGACATGGAGGGCTCATTTGCTGGATTACATTTGTGGGTGTGTGCAACTGTTTTTCAGTCCTCAGTCCTATTCCCAGTCCAATTATGCCCAGGGCTCAGAAATCTAAAATTCAAACCATGGCATATATCTGGTGGTCACAGCAACGCAAAAGCTCAGGAATACATAAATGTATGAAGTTAATCTTTGTTTTTATATTGTTAGGAGAGCTGCTTCTGGAACAGGAGTTGGATGTTTTTAGCATCTACTGCAGTTAGCTTAAAGCATGCTTATTTAGCATTCTCTAAAGTCTTTCTAAGTACTTTTTCATTCAGCCATGCAATTTTCATAGCCAAGATCATTCATAACAATTTCTAAATACAGAAGGAGGACCTGGTATGTTCACAGAAGCAGGTAAGTGAGGTGCTAATTCATGCTAACTAGTAGGAACTAAACTGTAGTGACTGTTTTACACAAGTCTTCAGACATGTTTTGCACAGGCAAGGCTTCATGCTGTTGTAAGGCTGGATTTAAATCAATGGTGATTTAAATTCAAACAAATCACTATATTGCTAGCTTCTCACACTTTCATAATATTAACAATACATTACTTTTCATTTTCGTTGACAGAGAAACTGTAAGCACTGAGAACTCATTAGCATTGAACGAAACTGGTAGCCTACAAACTTTGTGAAGCTGTGCTAATAGGCCTTAATTTACGCATGCTACTTAACAGCTAGCAAGTTTTTTTCTTGATATTATATTGCAGAAAACCTGAATGACAGCTAAAAGGAATCTGATCATCTTAATGTATGACATGATATGCTCGAGAAAACAGTAGTTTTTGCCACGTCTAGAAGATGGAGTCCTAAGATCCAAAATGACTAAATAAGGATATTTTATTTATTAACCATTTCTGTGTTTAAAGGGGAGCCCAGCAAGATAAGTTTCCATTATTTAATTTTGAACAGAGAATATTTATTTGTCTGACCAACCTTGAAGTCTGGAGGCACTCCGCCAACGTAGAAAACAGCATTTTCAGGTTCCAAATTCAGGAGAGAATCAGGACCAAGAACCTCTCCCTTTTTGATGAATTTTTCTTCAGCTGTGCTGCTAAGACTGGGCACAGTTAAAAACATTTTGCCATGTCTTCCAATCCTGTAGAAGGGAATTGTAAAAGAAGAGAGTTTTATGTTGGATAGACTTAAAAAAGAACAAGCAGTCTCCAACTCCAGGAAGGGCTTCATTTCCTCACTAGAAGACTGGTACCCTGTGGGAAAAGGAGGAGACAAATTACAGACACTTTCTCTTACTCCCCTGTGACCCCTTGGGTCCTGATACACTAAAAACAAAGACAATT